GGTCATAAAATCCTTGAAAATTTGTATTCTACTTTGTGTTAATTATACATAGGATTATAAAAAAATTTGATCAAGTAGCTTTAATCAAGATACATATTTGTAGAGAGAAATAAAAAAAAATAGTTTGCAATACGCAATTAAAGGCGTATTTTTAACAATAAAATCTTTATACACAACAAAATTTTCTGTATCAGCTAATTTTCGTCAGCAAATAATATTATACTCGATTATGATACGTATGATATTATACATCCCGAAAAATGGACAATAACAAGAAATTAATTAAATGAGAATATTGGTATGCACAAATTGCATTAATTGCCCGAAAATTGTTATTTACTTAAGTACTAATAGGTACTTAATGCTATTACAGCATATAATTATCATATTAAACGATAATTAGTTTACATAATTAATAATTCATAAGCGTGAGGTGAATATTGGTTGAAGCAGATGTATAATATGTGTTGCGTGATTTATTCAACTGATATAAGAATCGAAATTATAGAAAATGAGATTTCTAAATTGTTGTTTTGTAATATGTCTGTAGGTAATAATTATTTTCACGAACCAGTGATTGGTTACATGATTCATATGTAATAAATCTATTTGATACATCGGATATTGTGTCTACCTTTACACGTTTGCAAGAAGTGTAATTAAATATTAATTAATTTTTAACTTCTCGCACAAAATATCGGATAAGCATCGTATTCTGATAGTTAATTTACGCGCGATTATAATTAATCGTATTTTTGTAAATAACATATGAGTACAACTGTGTAATAAGTAACAGTATGAAAAAGGAAAGAGATTTAGAAGACATCGGATGCGACAACAAAGTGAGTAATATAATATGTACAGAGTGCGTTCAAAATTCGGACAAATTTCAATTTAAATTTTCTGCTATATTGTACCTCCGCCAAAGGTTGTTGTTGGCGTCCAGAAAGAAAGCCTGATGCTTCTAGTAAACAATCATATTCTCAAAATGGTCGCGATATTGAAACCAAGTGCGGAGTATAATTGAAGAGCCGCGATCATCGAAGGCCTTCGCGCTGGGCGCTCAGCAATGGAAATAATTCGGTTCTTTGGACTCAAGCTCAACCGTTTATGACGTTGTGACAAAATACGGCTTTAGAATAGTTAAACGAAGATTCCAGTATGCCAGTAAGAAAGAGTCACTCGAAAGAATGCACTGCGAGGACCCTCGCAGTCGTTGAAAGGGCTCAAGCGCTGATTTCGGATGACCCAGGGCAATCGTTGCGAAAATTAGCATCGAGTGTTGATGTAAGCGAGTCAACAATGCGTCGAATTACCGGGAGGATCTTCGATAAATCGTACACATTAAAGATGCGACAGATGTTCTCTGAGGTTGCCAGGATAAGCCGAGTTGCTCGCCATTCTGGCCTCCCAACAGCCCAGATTTAAATTCTTTGGACTACGTATGGAGCATAGTTGAAAGAGTCGCAAACAAGTCTCGGCATCCCAATGTGATGTTATTAAGGATCGCTATTGAGACAGTATTCAGCATGGACAGCGCTATATTACAACGTGCGTGCGAACGTTTCAGACTGAGAATAGAGACCGTCATTCAAGCTAATAGGGAATATATCGAATAATTGTGCTTTACAGGGATCCCCTAAATGTAAACCCCATGTAAACGGATTTTTTGTAATATTTAATTTTTCATTAAAAACATTTTAACAGTTTAAAGAAATTGTTCGATTTGTCCGGATTTCGGTGACGTACCCTGTATAATTATTATTATTACTAATAAGCAAGAGGTAGTATAAAAGAAGGGCAAAGAGCCAATGAATTTCTCTTTGCCCTTCTTTTATACTACCTTTTGCTTATTAGTATAGAGCCTTATTTATTACTTTTAATATTATTACTAATATTTATTCTTTTAAAGTATCGATTTTATCTTAATTTTTTGTAGTTTATCTATTACATATTCACTAGATGTTATACACTGAACTAAATTTTATAACAGCTAAGGCAAGTATTAGTTACGATAGCGCTTTAAATAATGCAATACCATAATATAGAAGAAATGATATTATAGTTTGATAATTGATTTCCAATTTATATTTTGTATAAATTGGGAATCAATTATTTTATATAAATAACTTTGTTAATAATCAGTATTTAAATTTAAAACTTAACGATTGCAAAGTACTGTTTAATCAATTCTAAATACTTAAACGTGTAAAATATTTATTATTTAGACATTGTTTTAAAAGTGTGGCAGTATTTAGTTACAAATTTTGCAAAAATTTTGTACATATGTTCGTACAATAATACGCTCAAATTTAAAAAGAATAAGGAAATATGTATAACAAAGTACTAAAATGTACTCTAAAAAGTTTACGTTTTGAAATGTTTAAAAGTAAAAATATTGTTATAATTATAATAAATGCCATCTCTTCTATATTGGCATAATAACTGTACTGAACAAATGAATATAAAATGTCATTAAAATTTGCTACAATTTTAGCAGAGATGTTAAAAAGAATCATAATATACCTATAAGGAGTGTAATATCTTTTCTTCTACAAAACGGCACGGCGCGTAGTACATCGACTTCATTCAATGTCAGTGTGGTGAATGGTGCGCGGCGACCTTGTGTACGCAATGGCATACCGTACACCGCAACACAAACATCATAGCTCACCAAGGCCGCAAGCTAACCGATGCGATTCTCCGAAATCAAGAGAGCGCGATAGCGCCAAGAATATTTTTCATACATCCTATCGTAAGCAAGATGCTACGTATGTTTAATTTCTCCGATGAGAACTGTTGTAGTTATTAGAGTCGAAGTACTAATAATCATTACCGATTTATAATACATAGTATTATAAATTCACAACAAGATGAATAATACAAACATTTCAGCCATTTCAGACGTTTCGATTCTTAATTCTCTTTAATGCAACAGGATAAAAAATAAATAGGCAGTTCCGATCCCTTCTCTCCATTTCAATCAATTCTACACAAATAATAATGCTTACATGCATTTTTATGGAACATTTTATAATATTAAAAAATTAAATTTCATACATAATTTTTTATTTTTATTTAATGTAATTAAAAAAATCATAACTTTTGCAGAAGAAAACAAGGTTAAATAATATAAAAGTTTTTAATGTAAAGATATTCTTTAAACTCAAATACCTATCACTTAAAATTATTTTTTACCTTACAATATGTCAGCGTTAAATTGTGAGTTACATAGATATGATAAATAAAGACAGAGACGATTACATCTGCATTTACTTCAAAAGTTATAATCCATTGTGGAACTATAAAGCATCTGGTAATAGGTCTAAGTGGATTACACAGAACACAGTCAAACACAAGTAGCGCAAATAGTTTGTAGTCAGGCAGTAGTAATATCTCGTATATGGTCAACTTACAATTAGAACACGAGTGTCTAAACCGCTTTCCTCAAATATGAAACAAAAGGAAAATACAATAATATAATTGATATCAATTGTATGTCATTGACAATATATATATATAAATATAATCTACATTTGTATTATTATACAAATAACAAAACTAAAATTCATAATAATAATATCTTAATTTAATGAAATCCATACAAATACAAATGCCACGGATTCATTTTAAAGAATATAACTAAATTAACTAAGCATTGTCTTTAAATTGTAATATCACTAATGTAATTATTATAATGTAATATCGTAAATATATTATACTAATATAAAAGTAGCATAAAATATCATAAAATTTTAAAAATAATTTTTAATTTAATATTTATTAATATGAGTATTCTGCATAAGCTTTAAGAAATATAAATTTCGTCTTGGTATAAAGTCTAATAAAAAACAAAATGTTGCTAAGAGCTGTTAAAACTCTTAGCATGTAAATTAGACTTTTAAAAAATTTTCTGTTCTTTTTATCGCAAAAGCTATATAGCGCGATATATCAGTGTCTACCGTACACTTATAAACTATTCACGATATTGCCAGGGAAGCGACAAACGGTACAATTTCATATCCTGCGGTAGCAAGTGATCGCAAACGCGATATCAAAGTAGCGGAATAGTAATTGAACGATGCCAGATATACGATCTGATCTTGCTGGATCTCTTCTATCATAACGCAGACCAACACATGCACGAATCGGTCGCACGCGCGTTTTACGGCTCCCGATGTAAACGACGTCAGTCGTAATCCCAGATGGTCGCGCGAGTGCTCGGCACTGCTCGGAATATTACCTGCGCCACCCGTAACACCCGTGTAATTGCGTTACGGGAGTTTTCATTTCGTGTTGCATACCCGGCTATAACATTTTCTTTCGTTCCGTGTAATCGGTTGCGCACGGTTTGCGGTTATTAAAATGAGAAACTTAGTGAACTGTATATATGTACTATCACCCAAAAGATTTCAATTGTTGTAAATCTTTAATTATTATATATTTTAACGATTACTTTTAATCTACAAAATTTAGATGGTTGACAGTTGTTTGATAATTGTTTGACATTGAAAAATATTATAAGGATATTAAATATCTATAAAACTGCATAACGTATCTATAAAAATTAAATCTTTTTTTACTTATATATATCTTTAGCTCTTCCATTTCGATTCCTATTTAAAAATAAAAGTCAATTGATGTGATAAGGTAAGTACGTACGTTAATGGAATTGTTGATCAAGAATGGCTAGATAAAAATATGTCTTTATCATGAATTTTATTTTTTAACTTGAATTAAAAATTGTAATTTTGTAAAACATTTACAATATATCAAAATATTATCTGATACTTTAGTTTTTTATTATATTACATATTATACTACACATTATTATATTACATTATTATAATACATAATATTTTAAATGACTATTTATTGTAGGCTAGAATTACATAAGTTTTACATTATACAATAAAAATTTAAAAGACGGAAGATAGAATATGTGGTTTGAAAAAAATAAAATTAAATCTAAAAACAATACTTTTTTTATCAAACAATGGATGACAAAAGTTTCGAAGAAATCATCGCGCTTAAAGATTATATCCAAATATTTAAAATTGTATTATGAATATTCCACTATAAACAGTTTTAAATACTTTGCTGATTCTCAGAGACCTTGGTTTGAAAGGTAACTTTAATTATATTTATTTATAGTATAATTATGAACACAAATGTAAGCTTATATAGGAATTTCTAAACATACGTAGTACATAAATATTGTATAACAAAAGACGTGTTGCTTTAGATTTAGCTTTTTTGAAACAAATATGGCTTTTTTAGTTCTTCTCAGTTAACAATAAAATTTAATTTAGCATTATATATTAAACATGAAATAGAAACGCTGAAATAGATGAAGAAAAAGAAATGAAATGTTATATTTAAGAATCAATTCAGATACACAGCAAGCAGATATAATCGTCATCATTTTGTTAAATTGACGTTAGTTTGTTACTTTGGAAACAATATTTTTTAATTATTATTCATAAGCTTAATTAATTATGTTGTGTAATTATGATTCAGTGATACATAAGAACTCTGTACATTAATTTAAACATTATTATTTCTAAATTAATATTATATGAATATATTTTGGAAAAAGTAGTAATTTATATTCAAAAATTTAAAAAGTTTTTAAATTTGTTTGTCTTTTACTTTTCTTAAAGGAGATTTCCATCAAATCGCTATTATTTATTTTATTTTTATATTTTTGAAGCACTAAGTTACTCACAACACTAACGTTCTATATTCAGAAGATCTTAGTACAATGAAATTTTACTTCAGCACGATTTATTTGGATGTTGCTCATTCATTTAACAATATAAACTCGCGCTCAAAAGTCATAATACGAATATCGGGTCTTTATTAAAGCAATGATAAAAGCGATTTGCACAGACTATGCACGTGAGACTTTTAGATGCATACATTATAGTTCGCATATATAAGCGGAATGTATGATTAAAGTTATACAGTTTAATGAGCGTATACTAATTTTTCATGAGATTAACGGTGCCACAGTGAGTAGAGATTCTTGAATTCATAGTGGTCCGCACAAATCAAGTAATCCACAAATCACGATCCTACGAAATCACGCGGTACGAAACAAATGCGGTACCCTTTGCAAAAAGGAGAAAAAAGGAAAAAAATATAATTCCATAAAATGCTGGAGTCACGTCGCGATACGGCGTCGCCAGTTGATTTAATGTACCGTTACGTGTGACGTTAATAGCGCGGTGCGAATTCGGTAATGAGCGTGTCGTGGTAAGAACAGGAACAAATTGTTGCTCGATATGTCGCTTGACTTACAACACGTAAATCCATATTTTTGTTTTATGTCTCTAATATTGTTGCCTTTGGACTTTTAAATGTATAAATAAAAAAATATAAATAAAATAAATGAAAGTTTAAATAAGTAAAATAAGCAAATAAAGTATAATTGCTTTAATCAAATAATGATATTTTTGCACTTGCCGTATAATTAAATATATCTTTCAGAATTTTGTGGATTATTATACATTACACAATTATATCTTTTCTGGTGTTTATGGTTTATATTTCCTATTATGAATTTATGACAACACCTTTAGTAACTTCCACGGAGACAGATGATTATAAAACGACTCTTTTATCTTTTCCAGGTAAGATAAAGATTTCCCAAAATTTGTATATGTGCGTATGCAATTTATTTATATAAAAATTTATTTGATTTTTAATAATATAATTAGTATAGTGTAAAATAAAAAGTTTATTTTTATATTCGTTTTATTGTTGAAAACATTTTATGATGTATTTCAAACTAGGATTTATTTATATATTTATATCATGACAGATAATCATTTTTCTGGAAGGAATCAAATGTAATAATTACGAAAATAAAATTTATATATTTTTATATATTTAAGTAAAGGCTATATCCAAATTATAAATATTAAAATTAAATTGAAAGTAGAAATGTAAAATATAAAAGATATAAACATAATAAATGATATTTTGTTTGTAAAATATAAAGAACAAAATATTACATAATATTTTATATTTTTTATTTATAATATTTTATAATATTTTAGATTTTTATTATTAAAGAGTTTTTATATTTTAAAGTAATTTTTTCTTTTTTAGTGATTTTGTTTTATTTTTTCTTTTTTCTTTTTTTTATCACATTGCTCAAAAGCCTCGATAATTTTTAGCAATCGCCATCTGCTCCATTAACAGGATAAGTCGGCAATCCGCAACGGAACTGGCGACCAATATGTGAGTTCGATTTGTATATTAAATAAACACAAACTACATTTCACGTATTGTATATTAAACAAATGCATTTGCATGTGCACGAACGATGGCGAGGTGCTGATACACACGTGGAGCCTCTGCAGCATTTTGGATGAGCGTGGATGTGATTTCGTCGTTTTACATCAAACTGCACCAATTGCATAATCGGTCGGGATCGTTCGAAGTATCGCTGGCTGTTTAACGGGTATTATTCTATGAATTTTCTCTGCCCACGCTGAAACGGTCACTACATTGACCAGCGTGAATTGAAAATATTTGCAAATATTGTCGGCTTGATCGCATAATCTGCTTCTACAGTATGTTGATAATAAAGCGGCAGTGCAAATATAATATTTGACAATGTTATCGGTGTAAATATTATATTATGTATAATTATTAATTTGTCTAGACATGAGAAAGTTACTTTCTAAAAGTATCAGTTACTCTTTACCAAGTCAAAAAAATAAGTTAACGTTACTTAAAAAATAACATTGTTACTTTTTCTGTTACTACAATATAATGATATCGTTACTGCCGTTGAGAGTTACAGAATAGAAGTCTAAAGTTTGTACTGCCATCTTCGTAAAGATTGATAGGTATTAAAAAGTAACGATATAATAATTATTTTTAGAAAGTAAATAAGTTGTTAACCCTGATAACAGACAATTAATTGTCTGAAATGTATTCTAAACAAATATAGAGATCGTAGGTGTGATACGTATCTATTGTTGATAGATACGAATCTATGATTGAGGATAGGTTTACTAACCATAGTGGTATTTCCATTGACCAGAGAATAGAGTTAACTCGCCGCAATTGATACGATATATACGCGAAGCTTAATCGACCGGTCAACGCATTGAATTCTACTTTGCTTTTTACGACGTTCCGAGTCAACTGGCACGCCGATTATCATTAATTCGGTATCGCGCACTCTCTTTGGACGCAACGAGAACGGATCGATGCATTGCGCATTGATGGAGAGTGTAGAATCAGTGGTTACAGCTCATTTAATAGAGTGTTAATAGCCTAAAATCGCGAATCGTTTTGTGCGACGCTACCTTATAGCCACTCGCAAACTTTTGACACTGTTAATGGAAGAGACGTTTTCGGAATTGTTGATTTGGAACAAGAATCTTCAAAGTTTCATAGCTTTAACACAAAGTTTTATCTCGCTTGCACATTGATTAATGTCATAATTTTTTATCAAGCTAATATTATAAAACCATATATTCGATTGTAGATTTCGATTAAACACTAGATGTATATTCATAAAAATACCTAATATTTTGGCACTGTCGACTATTTATATACACAATACTATATTATATATAATTTTACATATCTATGTATAAATCTATGTATAAATGTATAAAAAAATTTCTACATCGTTATATAAACCAATGTTGTGAATTCTTTCTTATTTTAATATTAAATAATTAAATGTGAAGAAGTTATAAAGTAAAAAGCAAATTGATCGAAATTTAATAAGAATTTCAAAATTTTATTTTATTCATTTTAAAATAAAAAAAGAAGAAAGAGAAATAATATAAGAACATTTTATAATAAAAAATTTGCATCTAAAGTTTTACATAAATTGTCGTACAATACAACAATTTATTTTTACAAGCTAAATTGTAATTCTATGACGTTCTATAACAAAATATGTACTAAATTGGTGTTTAGAAAATTATTTGATTTATACATTTTATTGGCAAACGCATATTTAAATATGTATGATGCTACTAAAGGTATTACTTGAAAATTATTATTTAATATTATTTATTAATAACAAAATAATTGGAGTTGCATAATGCACTAAAAATTTTAAATTATGCACTTACATATAGCGGACACAAATAGATCATCATGTACAGTAGAGACTAAAAAAAATGCATAATTTGAATTTTTATCATATTTTCTTGAGTGCTTAAAAAAAAATCTCTTTTAATTTGAATTAATTAAATATTAATTACACGCACAATAACACGTGTAATATAAGCTGATAAACAATAAGAAGAATTACTAATTTCTTTTGTAAGAAAAATACAAAGAAATATATATCAATTTTGAGCAATTAATGACAATATTTTTAATATACATATAGTCCACTTTTACCTAACTAATAAAGGTATTCATGCTGTTTTTAGATGTTATTATTAAAAATGAACACGTGCTCTACAATTTACATACACTAAAAAGATTTAATTGTGAAAAACAATGAAAGAAATTAATAAAAATTATAATAAAATTATAATATAATAAAAATTGTTTTTTTTTTTTCGAAAATTATATACTTTACTAATTTTTTTATTTATGCCTATACAGAGAATTAAATCAATGAAAAAGTAATTATAATTTAAAAATACATTATTAATATTTATTAGTCAATCTATTGCTAATTTTAAAAGCATTACATTGTGCGGTATATTGTCAACCAATTTATCCATCACACAGAATGGAAAATTAATTATTAACTTTGAACATATCACTTTTATCATTACAGAGACCAGTTTGTTAAACTTTACATTATGAACATTGTTTTAAAATATTTTCAATATAATAGTATAAAATTAGTATATAATGCATATACCATAACGTATCATAAAAATATATAAAATCTATTATGTAGTTGAGTAATATGTACAACAATTATGTAATTAAAAAAAAAGTTGCGCATATTTTTTGCTCTACTGTGTATTAAAAATATTCTTGAGAAATATATATTATATATGATGGCTTTTATTGAAATATTTACTACATTTTTCTTAAAACCAGTTCTAAAGCAAACATCACGAATCAGACGGTTGATGAAATTCTCATCTTAATAATGCGGCTGGGCAATCTCTACGTTTATGATTTTGATGTGCTCGATTTGACGGATAATAATCATGATGTGGAATTAGATAAACTTTTAACAATTTATTATAACGGGACTTACGATGTCACTGAAATAATGAAAACTGTAAGTATGCAAATTAAATCAATACCATGTTTGAAATATGGTAGTACACTAAAGTTTTACTTACACATTTTTATTAGATTTTTCTTACATACATATCTTGATACATATGTTGATATACATATAAAATCCTTTTTTTATGAATCCTCTCTACTTAAATTTTTCCTCCCTAACTTTCAATTCTCTGGTAATTCTAGCAAACAGAAATCATTTATAGGCAGGCACGTTACTTTATTTTTTTTTTGGCGATGTACATACTTTAAACACAAGGTTTCCTTAGAAGATCAATTAAAATGTTATTTACACGACCTCCGTTGTTATCGCTCAGAAAATTGTAGCAATTTGCATCAATATGTATCGCGTATTTGCATTTTCCAGCTGACTCCGCAATGTTCGATGATGCTATTGAAATGTAAGCTGCATGGGAAGTATACAAATTGTTCGACGCTTTTTAAATTTCGCAAGACGCCGGACGGATACTGTTGCACCTTCAATTACGTGCGTGAAAGCGACGACATTCCCGAGTGAGTATCCCGTACTTTCAAAACGTATTTCCGGGAAGCATACAACATGCAGTAGTTTAACTACTTATTTAACTAATTTATCTCTCAAATAATGCAGTGGCATATTTCAGAATATAAATGAAACATATTCCTAATCATTAAGTATGATATAAAAATGTTCTATTATTTGCCTATAAAGTTGTTCTATTTAGCATTGTTTTATTTCTTCATGACTATATTTCTCATAGTTACTGTTTAACGATAAGAAATAAGTATATATATTTTTAATTAATTATTTTAAACATGTTTTAATATGAAAGTAGCTAAATGCCAAATTGATAGAAATTGATTCATAACACAAATTACATTGCTAAATTGTCCCTAATGCTTGTTGATTAGAATATTATTGTTGAATCATGATGTTTGTTGATTAGAAGTTATCATTAAATCATATTGTTTGTTGATTAGATCGCAATATATTAATTATGTCGTAGGAAAATACCATTTGCTTTGACCTTTTTGTATATGCTGCGTGACAAAGATTAATTACTGCAATTTGAAAAAGCAATTCTTCATATAAAATAATTCATGAATATTTTTTTATTGTATTATTAATATGTGAATAAGTTTTTTTAACAGATGTTTGAATTATGTTAGAAATTAATTTTTAATCATAGAAAAATTTATTTAAATCAATAAAACGCAAGTTCTTTACTTATTTATATTCATAAAGTATGTACTTTTGGCAAAATACTATTAGGTGTTGGAATTAATTCGTAGCGTTTTTAATGAAAGAATGTTATTTATTTCACATGAGCATTAAAAAATACATTAATGAAAGTACTTCCCATCTCTTGTAAAACGCTACGAATTAATTCCAACACCTAATACATTAATTTTTAATGATTAATAAATTGATTATGTTTTGATATTGAAAGAATTATCTTTTATATTAACTTGACATTTACAATATTCAGTTTTAAAGCATATGGTAACGGTATTTCCTTTATACAAATTATGTTTTACTAATCTGTTAATGCATCTCAAGAGATACATATATTATACATGTTTATATTTAGTAGATAGTAAAACATAACTCCGTATTTTAATTAGAAATTAATAATATCACAGTGTATCAATATTACGTTATATAATTTATGCGGAAAAAAGTTTACATATTATTTTTTATTTTAATTGTAATTTTTGATAATTATCACAATAATCTGTAATAATACGTCGAATAGTGTTAAATGTAAATTAGTTTAAAATATCATAAAGAATATTGATTTTTTAGAAATATAATGCTAAGTATAATGTTAATGCTAAATATAATGTCATCATAGTTTTAACAAAATTAATAACGATAATTACATCTCAACAGACAGAACGATGAGACTGAGTTAAGTAAGTCGGAGCAAGTGTGGGATCTCGGAATAGAACGCGGTTTAACAGTTGTTATGGATCCACTTTTAGATGACTATTTCTATTCAATATTGCCCATTAAGGGTTGGAAGGCAAGTGGAAACGACATTACGTACTATTTTAATAAATTAAGAAAGCAAAACAGTGCTTTCTAATATTCCACATTCTTGAGAATACCTTACATTTCGGAGCTAAAATTAAATCTGCCATCAAGGAAAAATTATTTATCGTTCATGTAAAATTAAAATCTAGAAAATACTTCTTTTTTTTTTAATTAACCAAAAAACAGTATTGTTCAACCTAGATTCTGAGAAACTTGATAATATATAATTACATAGAGTGTTCCTAGAATGTTTCGCTTAACTTCGTCAGCGTGTCTTGATTATTAAGGTAATGATAAAAGTTTGAATGAATATAAAGAACTTTTGTTATTTAAAATTGTTGTAAAAAAGGAATTACGTAATTAAGAGGATTTTATGGAAATAATTAACAATCTCAATTAAATCATAGTAACTTAATTTAATTCTTCGAGACCTTGTTATATCAAGAGCTATGTAGAATAAATTACTTCAGATGCGTTAATAATTGTAAAATTACGCCGTATATTTGCAAAAAATTATTAATATTTTTGATGAACGTTATTATTTTATAAATAAAAGAAACGCCGCGGGTAAGAATTCACTCGTTGGTACGTAAAATTCTAATCTAACATATAATTTAGAAAACGTCTTGCATGAGAATTGCCTGGAAATATCTCCGTCTCGCGAAAACGGGTCATATTCGACTCATAACGAGTTGTTACCACGAGTGCTGAATATGAAAAGGGGCTAATCGAGCGAAATGAAGATTTATTCTTGCAATGCTTTATGATGCTAAAGTAGCGTTAACGCTCGATTCTATATAGTGCGAATCATGAAATATGTATCTACATTTCAAATGTATTTAAAACAGAGACAATTAAGAAGTTATATCATGTTGGTTATTATTGGTGATAAATATTATACTAGTTTATTAGTTTTTAATAGATCAAGCAAAATTGTTATTATTATTACATTTATTATAAAATAATAGATTGTTGTTTTTTTATTCATTAATTTTTGGAAATGAACACAAAGAGCAAATTATTTTTATTACAGTTATTAAAATTTTAATTAATGGTTTAATTTATAAATTAAGGAAAAAAGTATAAAAATTTAAAGTATAAAAATAAAAAAATTAAAAATTTTTCAAGAAACTTTATATAAAAAAACACTGATGAAAAAGATTGAGAGAACAAAAGATAAAGAATTTATCTTAAATATTATTTATAGCGTAAACGTAAATCTTCTAATCTTATTTTGTAAACTGATTTCTTAATTCCTAAGTATTAATGCAAGCTATAATGATTATTCAAATTACTTAAAAAATATAATTTTACGTATAATGTATTTCAACTATATTGTATTCACATATCAAATCTATTGTCGCGACAAGATAATCGGTAGCTGCCTCATGCTGTGAACTTTTTCCACGCTTACCGTGCCATTACAAGCCACCTGTGCTTCATTCGCGCATAGTGCGCGATGATAAAAAGCTTGCGAAAGTCATTAGCGGTGCGATATAATCGCGCGTTTTCTTCACTCCGCCATATTTGCAGTGTAGTGTGTACTTTAGGCTGTAACAACTAGCACTTACGGAGAACTCGTGTTCGATAAAAACGTGCTGGAAGATTCTGTTCTTTTGTTGAGATATTTTTATCGTACTTTTAGATGCATTGCAAGATTAATCAAACTTCTTAAAGAAATGTACATTATGTACAATAAAAATAATTATTATATATTTATATATATTGAAAAAGTTATAAAGAATTATTTGTTATTAATTTCAAATTGATATTAGACAGTTTCTATATAAAAAGATTCAAATATTTATATGTTGGAACTAAAGGTATGTCTTACTTTATAAAATAAATCATATAATTGTTAATTTATTAATTATTATTTAATTACTGTAATGT